TGGGGGACAGAGTGAGACTCCAACTCAAAAAAAAAAAAAAAAAAAATAGAGAATCAATTGCATAAAACCACATATTTTATTAATGCGTTTATCAAATATGTCATCTATCATCTCCATTTTTCTTTTTAGATGTTAATTGCAGTTTTATCTTTTATATTTGGCCACTTAATTTAAGAGTAAGCCCCAACTCATAATGCCTTTTGAAGGATTTCTGCATTCTAAACAGAAGCATGGATAACATTATTAGAATTTGTATTTGTCTTCATATTACCTACCGTTTGGGGGTCTTTTTTTTTTTTGAGTTGGAATCTCACTCTGTCGCCCAGACGAGTGCAGTGGCCACTCCTGGCCACCACAGCCTCGACCTGCTGGGTTCCGGTGATCCTTCTGCCTCAGCCTTCCAAGTAGCTGGAACTACAGGCGTGTACTACCATGCCTGGCTAATTTCTGATTTATTGTAGAGATGAGGTTTGCAAGTTGCCCAGGCGGGTCTCGATCCTGCGGGCTCAGGCAATCCACTCACCTCAGCCTCCCAAAGCACTGGGATTACAGGCTGAGCTACCAAGCCTGGCTAGTTTGAAGGTCTTTGGCCTCATATTTCAAAGGGGGAAAAGCTCTAAGATAGTCCCTTACAAAATAAGAGGATTCATATTTTCTTCCTCATAAGAATCATTTTAGACTCTGCTTTCCAGAGGAGTTGTTTTTCACATCTCATTTACCAGTAACTTGTACTGATTAGATGTATACTTTGTCAGACCCGAGAGTGTGTGGAGCAGTTACAGTTGGAAGACCGGGTCCTCTGTCTCCATAGTAGATGGCGAATCCTCTATGCAGGACTGGCAAATGGCACTGTGGTCACCTTCAACATAAAGGTTAGTAGCTAAAGGGAGAAGGGTGAATTCCCATGCCACTTGGAAATAGTGTGAATTTGGATAGGAAGAAGTAGCAGATAGGCATTCTCCTATTTTCTTATATGAAGAAGCAATAGAATTAACTGCTACTCAAAAACTAATATCTTCTGATGTAAGGGAAATATGACCCTTCATTCTCTCTGCTAAGACTCAAATGTGCCAGGATCAAAATGTAACTCTACTAAAGTAAACTATGCCTGAGGATTTGGGGCCAAATAATGAGTCACAGGTCCAGCCAGTCTGTCTCATTTTAGGAATGACACCATGAAAAATGAACTTACATTCCTTTGAGTATGACATTGGTTTGGTTTAGAACTGATTTAGGGTTTCATGAGGGTGGTCCTTTCTATTAGTTGAACTAAGTGAGAGGTTTGCCTTAATGGCCATGTGGTCTCATTCTTTCCTAACCCTAAAATAAGCTCATTTGTTGAGCAAACCTTTATTGAGCATCTGTTATGTGTTAGACCCTAGGATAAGGTTTAGGAAGTTCTTGATGGCCCTATGTGTTTTGTTAAGGTAGCTGGATTTCATCTTGTAGGCTTTAAAGTATGAGGGACATGAGATCCAATTTGTATTTTAGAAAAAGTTACTGGAGTTGAGATTGGGAAAGATTGGTATTAGTAAAGGCAGGGAGACCATTTAGGAGGCTTTGTAGTGGAAACTGACATGAATTGTTAAGCAAAGGATGAAGAAAAGGGAGTGGATAAAAGATGTAATCTAAGAGGTTGAATTGATAGGTATAGGACTATATCCCATTGTCCCTCTTTTATTTATTTATTTTAGTTTTTAAAAATTATTTTATTTTTTTTGAGTCTCACTCTGTCACCCAGGCTGAAGTGCAGTGGCATGATCATGACTCACCACCGCCTCAACTCTGGGCTCAGGTGATCCATCTACCTTAGCACCCCAGGTAACTGAGACTATAGGCACAAGCCTCCATGCCCTGCTAATTTTTTTTTTTTTTTGTAGAGACAAGGTCTTGCTTTGTTGCCCTGGCTGGTCTCAAACTCGTAGCCTCAAGCAATCCTCCCACCTAGGCCTCCCTGAGTGCTGGGATTATAGGCGTGAGCCACTGCACTCAGCCTCTGTCCCTCTTTTATCAGTGTGTTAGAATATTTACTGTGACAGTATCATTTATACGTCACATACTAGCTGGAACTACTACAGAATATGCAATAAAATATGTCATGGTTTCTGCCTATAGGAAATTTCAAAATCAGCTGCACATGCTAATAACGCCTATAATCCTAGCTCTTTGGGCTGCCATAGCAGGAGGATTGCTTGAGGCAAGGAGGCCAAGACCAGCCTGGGCAACATAGTGAGACTCTGTCGCTACAAAAAATTAAAAACAAAAAATTCGCCAGGCGTGGTGGCACATGTTTGTAATCCCAGCTACTAGGGAGGCTAAGGCAGAAGGACCCTTGAGCCCAGGAGTTCAAGATTGTAGTGAGCCATGATCACATCACTGTACTCCAGCGTAGGTGACATAGGGAAACCCTGTTGCTTAAAAAACAAAAACCTAAAAATTCAGTTAGAAGAATTTAATGTATGGTTAATCGAGTGCCAAATTATTTGGTCCATTTGATATGAATATAATATGGAAGAGTAATAATTAGTGAAGATTTTTGCATTCTATAAGCAAACAAGCATGAACAGCCTGATTAGATTGGATTTAGAGAAGAAAGTAATTTTTAAATATTTTAAAGGATAAAACTTGGTAATTAGCAAATTCTCCTCTTTTTTATGAGATTAATTAATGTTATCAGAGGTAGACAGAAATTAGGAGCAAGACTCTTGAAGCAAGATGATAAGACGTTCAAATGGAAAAGTTATATAAGTAGTTGAAAAACCCTGGAGAAGGAGGATCTAGCGACAGAGATTAGAGAATCTCTGCAGAGATGTGAATTTTGAAGGTCAAGGCTTGAATTTTTTCTGGTTTGCCCATACTCCTACAATAGCATGCTTCTGGGGTCTCAACAGAAAGCCAGAACTGTTTATCAGGGTATGTCCACCACTGAGTCCTGTACTCCTATTAGTCTGTATCCCTAGCATTTTATAATGGCTAAAACAATTGCTTAGTTATGTAGGCTCCTTGTTGCTGTTTTCTGCTTAGTTTCTAGGAGTTTTATTCCATGCATGCACCTAAAGCACTTTTGAAAGGTTTTCGAGAGGTAGGAGACTATGAAAAGATTGGTGAGGATAAGTCTAAAATCTGAGATTAAAAATGTGTTGGGATTCAGGATGTGACCACGCCACACTCATATAAAGACTCCTACAATCCACTAAAAGATATCATGAGAGATGACATAGAACCAGAGGCCAGAAGAGTATCAGAATAACAAAAAGGTAGGGAATTTGAGATTCTTATTATAGAAATTGTCTAGGAAGAGATTTTTGGATGTGACAAATAGATTACATAAATTTTGCATGACAAAATGGTAGAAGAGTTCCTGGGTCTTTGTCATGGAAAATATACTAGAGTTTTTTTTAAAAAGGTTGATCCTTTATTATCATTAATTTAAGGGAAGCGAAAGAGGGCATAAAAAGAGAACCAACTTCTAATTCGAATCAGGATAGTGTGGGTTGAAATTATAAATTAGTTTATAATGTAAGAGTTTGCCCCCATTGGATCAGGGAATGGGGGCAGTTCAGCAGAGAGGGTTGGGATGGGAATAGCAGAGGCTGGGAAGTTAAGGATAAGAAACGAGTATGAGAATTTGAGTACAAGTAATAGAATTGAGAGTTTATACCATAGTAGTGATTGGTTAGTTGCTAAGTTGCTTTCATTTTATATAACAGTGGCTTATTTTCCAGAACAATAAACGACTCGAGATCTTTGAATGCCATGGCCCTCGCGCAGTCAGCTGCCTTGCCACAGCTCAGGAAGGTGCCCGAAAGCTGTTGGTTGTGGGATCTTATGACTGCACCATTAGTGTACGAGATGCACGAAACGGACTGCTCCTCAGAACCCTGGAGGGCCATAGCAAAACCATTCTTTGCATGAAGGCGAGTACAGTGGAAGAGAAGAGGAATTGTCCGGCACAAGTAGAAGGGTTTTGAATGACATTTCCCATATTTGTCTAATGTGTTATTTAGAAACCTTTTTCTTTATGCCTGGATCACCAAGCAATGTACTTTGATTTGAGAAACAAGAGTGTATTTTACTATAAAGTGTGGGTGTACTCTAATGCCCTTTTGGGCTGCTTCATCATCATTTTGGAGAGGTGACAAACCTAATAATACCTTGTCAGTTCATCAGAGTACCTGTCAGGAGAGCATAAGTTTTAGTTGAGAATATTTGTCTGAGAAATTATTACTTCATACCTAGTTAATGCTCATCTCAAAACAGGATGGAAATTAGAATGTGCCAGTGTGTATTACAAGTTAGAAGAAACTGAGAATCTTATACAGAATCTGACTCATTGACTTTTTTTCTCAAAGGTGGTGAATGACCTTGTGTTCAGTGGTTCCAGTGATCAATCAGTCCATGCCCACAACATTCATGTAAGCTTTGTTGGTGTTGTGTAAAGATATCTTGAATAAAATAGTGGTTAAAGCTTGAAGGTGTCCTCAGACCTCTCGCATTTAAATTAAACTCTTTATCCAGTGAAAGGATTAGTAATAATCCCTACATATATGCTCTTGGATAGTATTGAGCTCATCAAAATTTTCAATGGGGACAGTTTCAAAGTTTATATAAGGTTTAGTTTGAATGCTTCATTTAAGCTTGAGGTAAATTTAGCAACTGAGACTTTCAGAAAGTGAATATGGTATGGAGTTAAAATAGAACTAATAGAAACAGCTGAGAGCTAGGTACAGTGGCTCTTGCCTGTAATCCCACTATACGGAGCCTGAGGAGGGAGGGTCACTTGAGGCTAAGAGTTCACGACCAGCTTGGACAACATAGTGAGACCCCCCATCTCTAAAAAAGTTTTTTTTTTCAATTATCCAGGTATGATGGCATGTGCCTATAGTATTCCCAGCTACTTGAGAGGATCACTTGAGCCCAGGAGTCTGAGGCTGCAGTGACTATGATCATGCTGCGGCACTCCAGGCTAGGTGTCAGAGTAAGACCCTGTCTCTTTAAAAAACAGAAAACAGCTGAGAGACTACTCAGGTCACAGAGGCAGCTCTCTGAAGCTCAGTTCCTGGTCTGTAAACTTGGGAATAATTTCACCTGATGTACTTGTCTAAATTCAATGAAATGATAAAAGTGAAAGTACTTCAAAATCTATGAAATGCATATGGACAGAATTGTGGCCCTTCTCTTTCTATGACAATAGTTTCTCTCTATCAGAATACATTTCATATATTTTGTATAGGTAACATGCTTGTGGAAGTACTTCAGCTAAAATTAGGTAGCCTCAGAATTATACCTGTTAGAATTATAGAATCATGCAGCCATAAAAAAGAACAGAATCAGCCGGGCTCGGTGGCTCAGCCTGTAATCCCGTGCCTTTGGGAGGCTGAGGTGAGTGGATTGCCTGAGCCCGCAGGTTCGAGACCCACCT